TGCAAATGATGAAATATGGTATCATTTCATTTTCATGACGAAGCATTGTTTAACCATTGACACCCGAACTAAATTTCATGGCAAGATCGTTCAAAATGATAATTTAAAAAGCAGAAGAGAAATACCAGCTTTTAAAGGATGGTCAGAATTTTATATCCAGCAACTTGAAAAAAATTTTAACTAGATTACAATTTATGTTTGAATTCATTTTTAATTTTAGTTTCTATCGAAAAAAATAACTTCTTTTTTCGAACAGCTCGGTGAAATTTCGCTAATATTACTCAAGATATGGGAAATTACATTTTCCATTTCGAAAATTGGCTTAGTATATCCAGCAGTTCAACGTACGCTGGACAGAAAAAAACTTTCACACGAATTTCCGTGATTCCATCGAGATTTTTCTTATTTATTAAGTTATTTCTATATTTGCAAATGGAAAAGACTTATCCACATTTTCCATGCCATTAGTTCGCATGATCATAATAAGTAAAAAAACCAATAATGCTGCACCTTTAAAACTTACTACCTGTCTCTATGCCGTCTATTTGAAGAAAAATTCCTATCGAAAAAGTTCCTAATTAAGTAGCAAGCTCTAATAACCCGCCAAAAAATCGAAGATGCAAGCAGTTTGGTAATGCAGTGTCTGATATTTGTGGCTTCCTACCTCCTGAAGTTCTTGTGAGGTCACGTTAAAATTCATCCAACCTGTGTTTTGGCGTACCAGCTCGTCTGATTCCCAAGGAGTTTTGTCAAGTATTATGCAGATCCAGTTTTTAATCCTTTGTTTCAGATAAAAAAAAGCACACCTCGTTGTTCGCAAGCAGATATCAAGACATTCCATTTTTGAAACCATAAACTGTTTTGAAAGCCAGCGCTGATCTCTGTCTAACCTTCCGGGAATTTGTCGAGTCTCCAAGATATTCTCGAAAGAATTCCAGCATGATTCTCCGGTTACAAAAGAAATAAGAAAACAGGAGAAAATTATTGGTAATTTTTCTCTAATCATAATGGACGTTATTTCCAGTCAAAGATCCGTTAAAATGTTGAATTCGTAAGTGGTTTTGACACCCTGAAAAGGAATTGTCTCGCTTCAATTTCGATTTATGCTTTTTAGACAATTTATCATTTCATTTTACAGAAAATTAAAAGAAATTTTCAAGCGACGCAATATTGCAGTAATTGACAATAATTAATGTGGAGGTAAATATCCACCACTTTTTCTGAAACTGGTAAATGTTTTAGTATGTACCACACGCACACACACACAAAAAGTTAATTTTTGTCAATTCATCGAAAAATGGTCAGAAAATAAACCCTTGACGCGCGAGTTTGTCTCTTTGGCTACTCGGAGCGAGGTGAATAAGTGAGTTATCACTCCCGAACCAGCTAATCGGCGCGCGCTAAAAGCTCAGTACTCATCTGTGTAGCGTGCGTGAAGTGCTTTTACTTCGTCTCGTTTTGATTAGGTACAGCCAAATTTCCAACCACAAATGAAGGTTTGATTATTCTATGGCGAGATGGTACAATCCAACATGTGCGAATGGAATAACTGTTACATTAAATTTAATTAAATCCTTAAAGTTTTGATCTTTGGAGCTTTTTTTCAGCTCCACAACAGTTGGGGCAATGCATTTCCAAATAAGGTGACTCAGAATATCTGCTGGTAACTGGGGTTTAGTGAACCAATCAGAACACTAGAGATGCAATATTCCGCGGAGTTGAAAAAAATCAATAATGGCTAGAGTAGTATAAGATTAAGTCCCGAAAAAACCAAAACCAAAACGAAAGTGATCACAACTGTCAGTCAGAGCAAAGGTGAGCATCATCGTTAGCCAATGACAACTCAAAGTAAAAACATGAAACCTGTTTGAAGTACGGGAAAACTCAAGTGGCGAAGCTGCGATTGGTTTTCGTGTTATGGCGAGACGTTTACATGGCATATTGTCACCCCGGCTGACAGGGTTACCCTACCAAGTAGACTAGGCAACGTCCCTAGACGGGTCACCCCACCTTTCATGTAGAGATTATATGGACAGGCAGGTTACCCCACCTAGGCGGGTTACTTCACCTACCAGGGGTCCCCCACCTCCATGTAAACAGGTCCTAAAAAAAAAGATGCATAAACACCTGAAATAATATACAGGTGTTAATCAATTAATCATCAACTTAATAGTAAGGTTTTAAACGATTTGCAAGTATGCCTTGAAATAATTACTGACTTTTGGTTTGCAACACTTGCGTGCTACGTTTTTGTTATGAGGGTAAGTTTCTAAAAAATTGTGATGTTGCATCAGTTGGGGGGGGGGGGGGGGTATTTGGTTTCATCAACTGAATTGTTAATGTAAGGTGGCCACTTTAAAAAATCCCTAAAGCTGATGTTTCACTCGTCAGGGTGAATAGAATAATTGGGGTTGTATGTGTTTTACATTCATGAAAATGGCGCTATGCTTTGGGTCAGAACATGGTAACGTGAAAAATAGAGAAATAAATTAGTTGCTTAAAAAGCGTTTGTTGAAATTTTGTCCGATTGTAAAATTTCATGGCAAGGATGGTCATGGTTTGTAGAAAATTTGATGTAGATTTTGTGTCTTTCTGTCATAGCTGCAAGGACGAGATGACGCATAGAGAGTTCAAGAAACAATGTGGTGCTTCTTGCGTGTATTACCTTGATGAATTAGCAGTGCTTGTTGCTTTGGTAAGAATACACCAATGACTAGTTTCAGACCTCAAAGGAGAATCTTGCAAATTTTTTGAGGATAATTTTTTACGTACTACAGTGTTTTACTGATGTCCAGGTTAATTCTAAAGACAGAGCTTTCATGGCCTTTGCAATTTCATGTAGTAAAAATTGACATCTGTTTTATCAAAAGAACTACTTGTTATTATATTCCACAGTCTCGTTCTGAACGCCCAGTGAAGTGTGCTGCTATGCTTAGTGAAATTCACTTCAGAAGTCTTAGAACAAAAATGCTGCTACAGTCCTGGATGGATGAGACAGCAAGACAAGTGGAGGTAAGATGTTACCTTAAATTGTACCTTTTGCAAACTTTTATGCCTGACTGTGATATCATCATGGCAAAAGGGTCCGGTCATCATATGCGTATTACCCGAAATATAAACCCCCCTGAGGCCTGACCTCTGGTAGGCGACCATTTCTGGTATGTGACCACCTCCCGTAAGTGACCACCTCCCGTAAACGACCACCTCTTATAAGCGACCACCTCCTGTAAACGACCACCTCCCGTAAACGACCACCTCTTATAAGCGACCATCTCCCGTAAGCGACCACATAGACTTGATGCTATGGGTGGTTCGACTGTATGTAAAACTAATAGAACATATGCCGGTCCACATTTGGAGAAATTGTGCATGGTCAGACAAATTATTTTAGTTGGTATCTTTTTTCGATTTCTTAGTTGTCTTATATGTTGCAGACTGCGAAGAAACAGATGGGTATCGTTGAGATGTTGACACTTCCCGATCATCTTATGGGTCTTGCCATTGGTGCCCAGGGCGCCAACATCCAACAGGCTCGGAGACTAGCAGGGATCATCTCTATTGAGGTGGATGAGGAAAACTGCACTTTCCACATCTGCGGAGAAGTAAGTAATTTGTATCGTTTTTTGACCCTTTAAGTTTCCACTAGTGACTAGCATAGACTTTTTTTTACGTTTTAGAACGAAGCAAGCGTTAAAGAAGCCAGACGGTTGTTAGAGTTTGCCGAGGAGACTGTTTATGTACCGAGACCTCTTGTAGGTGAGTTTGGAAAAATTTCCCTTTTTCTTTTGGTGCTATTTTGAAACTCTAGTTCTGCCAGTTCCAGCTGTTCCTTCGCTGTGACTATTGATAAGGGCTCGTGGAGACCAAATTGTAGCTTTTGAATTCAAAATGAACGCCTGCTTCCTAAAAGTTCTTAGTGTTACTCGGTTGGGCTTTGGTAACAGGTGGCTGTTCATTTTTGGGAACTGATGTGTTTATTATCCATAGGACATTTTAGCCACGAGCGCGACTAAAAGTCCCCTC